CCAGGACTTGAGCCTGCATCTAGGACCATCGATCGTGGGCCAAGATCAGACGGGCCTAAATGCAGGCCGGAGGCATCTCCAGTGGATCCACTGGTAGATAACTGGGTCAGCACTCAGTAGTGGGGACACAGTTTTGACTTGAGCTCTTCACCGGGCTGCTGGAGTGCAGCACTGGAGCCAGTGTTAGGACATGGAGGTTAGCGCTAGAGTAGAGGAGCTAGGAGGAGACCTGAGAGTCGAGACGAGACTGCAGGTTCTACAGCAGCATTTGGCAGAGGACCACCTACCTAGGCACCATAGCTGGGAGACTGTGTGCCGGCCAGAGTGGGACATCACTCGGCAATCTGCTGCAGTTCAAGGCGGTACCTTTCACACATTGGGCATCAGAGAGAGAGAGAGAGAGAGAGAGAGAGAGAGAGAGAGAGAGAGAGAGAGAGAGAGAGAGAGAGAGAGAGAGGAGGTGAGCACCTAGAAGGGTAGAGTCCTTGCAGGAAGGGGATGACCATGAGAGGAGGAAGAAGGGTGAGGGATTTACCAGGTGGCTTGTCCAATTGGCTACTGCATTGTACATTCTTCTCTCGGTCCTCGGTGCGAGCGGCATAGCGCTTCGGCATTTGACTTGAAGAGGGCACAGGTAGATAGGGAAAGTGGTCACAATGCCCAGTGTGTGCTTGGAAAGACCAGCAGATAAGATTATTATTACTACTCGTCTTCTGAGTGGCGGGGAAAGAAGGGAGGTTTCATTCAAGGTCTTCAACACTGTCAAAACATTCTGTGCAGTTGTGAGCATTGCTTTCGTCAGTGTGGCTGTCTATGCTGGTTCAGGAGAGTGATTTTTGAGTTTTCTCTTCACACTGTTCACAGTCTCCTTGCCATTGGTATCAGGGTGGGTCCTTGATTGGCGCTGACCCAAACTCCAGAGAGGAGAGGGTGCAGTACTTCAATTACCAATGACGGAAGTGCACTAGCTTCTCATTTGACAGATGTCCTGACCACGTCGATGTGGGATAGATAATGGTCACGGTGAAGACGGAGGCAGTGGCGAGTGATCAGAGCTTAGCTTCCAGTGATTGTCATTGCTAAAATGTGGTGGTACTGCATGGTATTGTAATCTGGTGAGCGCTTCTTCAGTGTCATCCGAGGTTGACCTGCCACCCGCCATCACATGACCTCATCGATTAATTCAGTCAGTCAGTTGTATATCCGGTTTGAGCCTCCAAAGCAGATAAATACACCTACGATTTATGCGTGTCATCCTTGCGCAGGGGCTGTGCTAATCGATCTTCTCTGTATCGTTCCAATGTTAATGGATGTCACGAAAGGACGCAAATAAATACTCTTACCCTCACCATAACTGCCCCCCGAATCATTCTATTCAATCAATAAAAAAAGAACAATTCCTTGCTGCGAGTTCGAGCGTTTGAAACTTTGAACTACAGAGTCCTCTCTCCAGGGTCATCTCTTTGTAAGATGTGAGGGGCATATAACCTTAGACTCGTAATCAAAATTGGAAGACGCATGTGTCCCCCCTGTCCACAATCTGGTCACCTATCATATGGCTCTCTCTATTCTACTGCTTTGTAGTTCCAGTCCTCAAGTGAGTTAGCGAGAGAGGCTTCCAGGACAGAGGGAAATGCTTTTGCAATGTGAGGCTTCCAGGACGAAGGAAAACGCTCTTGCAATGTGAGGCTTCCAGGCCGAGGGAAAATCCTCTTGCCATCACCAATAGGATTACATAAACAGAATGAATACAAGAAGTACGAGGGGTGAGTGTGTACTTCTTATATTCATTCTGTATCCATTCTGTACTTCTTGTATTCATTCTGTATTCATTCTGTACTTGCCGGCAGGTGGAATAGGAACCGGACTGATTCTCCCCAGAATGGAAAAGGAGCTGGAACCCCGAGGTTTTTTTAAGGATTACATAAACGGACGATTTATTTTTATAATTATTTTGGTAGCTTACGGAATACATACGCACGAGGTGGAGCTGCAACCTTATGACTCGTCCCATCTCTTGGCATTCAGCTTGCTGCCCTTCAGGGAGTTGGGAAGCTTGACAGAAAGAAGGATGGTGATGTTGCTCAGGGAAACATCTGGCGAGGGAGAAGAAGAGGCGGTGCGTCCACAGATCTGTACTGATTCTCTAGCCTTGTCCCAGATCTGGGGGGCCGCAGAACGGGTTTAACTTCGTGGGGGTGAATAAAAATGTCCTTGGGTGGATTGTTAGTAACTTAGTAGTACTTAGTACACATTGCGCATAATGTCGGTGCTGCCGGAATCTCAGTGTTTCCTTGTCGCGTACAACCATTTACGGACAGGAAGGGCGACGTAGGCTAAAATGAAGTTTAATCCTTTTTTTTGTTTGTTTAATCTGCAACAGGGTTGCATAGCTGCCGACCGACGACCCCGACCGGCGACTGTTTTGCAGCCGACCAGTAGGACCAACCGGTCGGCGGTCTGCCGACCAGTCAGAAAACAGTCATCCGCTGACTTTTTTTCAAATCTGAGTTGGGGGCTGTACTGCGCTTGCTGAGTACAGACCAAATCCACTGAGAAACTTCTGGGGATGGGGAGGTTGTTGTGGGGGGGGGGAGGATAGGGAGAGGTATAGGGGTATAGGGTTGGTATAGGGTTTATTGGGGGGGTATGAGGGTGTTGGGGGGCGGTTTGGGGGTTTTGAGGGGGTGTATGGGGGTATAGGGGACGGGTATGGGGGTGTTGGTGGGGCGGGGACGGGTATGGGGGTGTTGGAGGGGCTATGGGGGATTCTGGACCCATTTTTATTTTATTTTCATTTTATTATTTATTCATTTGTTACTCATTTATTTACTTATTTTGCAGGGTGCCAACGACCCCCAACCGGCGACCGGTAGGTGCCGACCAGCCGACCGGTGGGCTGGTTGGCATCCGACCAGTCAAGGGGCGCGGACGGTCAGGGTATGCAACACTGATCTGCAACTTATCCTGAGGATATTGACGGACAGGATATCAGGTTTGGATCACCAGCTGTGCCAAGACCTGTTCCTCTACCATCCACTAGTCTTGGTATGATGTGACCATCGATAGGCGCAGCAGCTGCAGGTAGGGACTGCAGCACCGCCTGTCACAGAGTTCTCCTACCACGACAGCTCCTGTGTCTGGTCTCGCTCCCATGTCAGCATCAGTCTCAGCCCCTGGTATCACTTCTTCTGCCGCTGTGTTGATAATTTGAGTGTTACACCTCCTCCCTCGATCGATGCTGTTCACAAGAACAAGATAAAGTAGCCCTTTACCTACATCTCAGAGGACTGATGGTACGTTGCTGCTTGGGAACCTATGGCAGTATAGTAGTCTGTGAAAGGCCTTCCATGATTCAGACCCCAAATTCGGGTCACAGGGTCAGAGACCCTGGCCAAGAAAGGCCGAATTAGTCAAATTTAGAAAAGTCACAGTCGGGCACCTCAGCAGTCCAGTCCAACAGGCACCCAGCAAACAGTCACATCTCAGGGGCAAAAGTCACGTCTCATAATGAAAAGTCATATTGAAGAGTCACATCCCACGAGTGAAAAGGCAGTTCCACAAGCAAGAGTCATGTCTCAAAGGCAGGAGTCACAGTCCACAGTCAAAAAAACATATGCTTAAATCGAAAAGTCATGACTCAAAGGCCCAAGCAGAAGCAGACCAGTGGAAATTCGGGAAGGTTCCAGCCCTTGACATTCAGAAGCAGAGACCGTGGGGATGTGGTACCGGAACCCAGTCAGCCCAGGAAGCAGAGTTTGGCACGAGTTGAAGTGCAATTCAAGACTACAAAAGGACTGACCAGCCTACCATTCGGGCAGATTGCTCATTCGCATGAAGTGTGGAAGTGCTAGTGCACTTGTGCGCTATTATCAGGGGCAGAGCGCTGAAGCCAGAGTGCTGCGCTGAGAGAGAGGGAGAGAGAGGAAGAGATTGCGCTAGCAGGGAGAAGGCAGCCATAGCTGCGCCAGTGCAAAGTGTTAGTAGTAGACTTTAGAGGGTTAGTAGACATATCAGTGGGTGTATTCAGAGTAGATCGTTGAGTAAAAGTTAGCGAGTGTGCATGCATGTAGGAAGAGAAGACACAGCGAGGACATAGCTAGGGAGAAGACCAGCAAGGAGAAGAGATACATAAGAGAGAAGAGCAGTGGGGAAGAGATACTTACCTGAGAGCTTATGCTGGTTACTAGTTACCTTTGGCATGCGCTGATGAGCGCTGGTGACTTGAACTCTTATTCCTCTTGTAATAACTTGTTGGAATTCATAAGCTGCGCTACCTGGTCTTAATCTCTCTGGTCTCCAGTGTGAACTTCGTGTGATCTCATACATGCATGTGGTGTGAATATGTGGTGTGAATATGTGCGCTCACTAGTGTTGAACTAATAGGTTCATTGCATCTGATGCTCCTTGGGAACCTTTGGGACAAGTCCTTGGGAACCTTTGAGACAAGTCCTAGGGAACCTTTGGGACAAGTCCTTGGGAACCTTTGGGACAAGTCCTTGGGAATCTTTGTCCCAGTTCGGGATGATACGTTGCTCCTTGGGAACCTTTGTCCCAAGTTTGGGACTGATGGTACGTCAGAGGGAAAGCAAAGGACTGCGTTATGGTAGGGAAACGAAGCAGCCGGGCTAGGAGGTAAACTTACATGCTTCAGCAGCGAAGAAGTTGTGTAGAGCTTTGGCAATAATGAATAGAGTGAAAACCATGGGTTCTAGGAAGCACAGGACTTTCAAGAGAGTCATGGGAGACTCCGAGGAACAGTCGTTCGTTACTCATTTAAGACTGCGCACAGGCCCCGGCCTTGACATGGTACCCGCATTGCATGCCTGCAGAGATCAAAGACCTGTTCACCAGTTAAGCCGATCGTAACTTGCATGACTTACTTAGCTTCGCTCTCGGTAAAGGGGTTGGTTATGGGGGCGAGGTTGGCGCCTCAACACTTGAGGTTCACAAACAAACAAGCTACCAAATTGCAGTATCTGGAGAAACAGCAAACTTACTCTTTGCTTGTGGCTCTGGTAGATTACCATTGCCACCACCAATCCGATAGCCGAGATTTTCTAACCATTGGACGAATGCTGGATCAGCGTCACGGACCAATCCCTCAACACCTGTCCATCCCACATCCTGCTCCAGTTCAGCATCCTCTTCCTCGTCTTCCTGGGTCCGTCTGGGCATGTCAAACATCAACCTTTCCCTGCAGCAAGCACCCAATGGCAGGCCGATAAGCATCCCTCCCTCCCTCCTCTCTCTCTCTCTCTCTCTCTCTCTCTCTCTCTCTCTCTCTCTCTCTCTCTCTC